GAGATGCTTTTCCTGTTGTAGTTTAGATATTTGCTGTTTTTTTTTTCCTGTATTCCAGTTGCATGCCATAAAAAAAAAGCCCTTTGTGTTGTTTATTCAGAGTTTCTAAAAACACTTTAATGATGTGAATAGAGAGGGGGTTTTAAGGAAATGCAGAGTTCACAGTTAAACAATCCCACTGAAGTCTCTTTGGTGCTATTAGAGAGGAACTGCTGTTCATTTTAATGGTGTTCACCAAACTAACAAACCTGGCTTTCTTCTAAAGCAAGTCGTGGCAGCACTTTTTGTCAGCCAAGCCTCCAAAGGCCTTTAGAGATCTGTTTGAATTCAATTATTTTCTTCTGGATTAGGAAGAACTAACACCCAATAGCTCAGAGGCCTCAGAGGTTGTTTCAAACAGAATTTTATTTGGTTTCTAAGTGTTTGTCGAGTTTGTCCTGGATAAAATAGATATTCCAGCTTTAAAAAAAAAAAAAAAAAAAGGCAGAAACTTGAGAGATGGGGAAAACCAGGGGTGAGGATGATGTTTCTGTTCTCCCACCCTGTTCCCTGATGGTGCATCTCCATCCTCCATGGAAACCTAGGCACAGAGGGACAGCACTGCATTGCAGAACCATTTTATCCACTCTGTTTTATCCAGGTTTTTTGGCAGCTGGGAGGGTGTTCATTTGAGCCTGACGTTTCTCTGCTCCTCAGGTGACTCCCCTCAGGCTGACTCAGTTTGTTGTTAGGTAGACATTGAGCTGCACTCAATGTCAGCAAAAAAGCCAGGCAGGAAGGGAGGGTGGTGTGGGTTTATGGGTTGTTTTTTACCTTTGGGAAGCCCTGTGCATGAGCTACTTCAGGATAACTTATATTAAAAAGCAAATTAACTGTGCTGAGAAGTGAACAGGATCTTCAGCCTGGGCTGGAACTCAGCATTTCCCCCAAGGACAGGGGCAGGTCTGGAGCAGGGGTGAAACAGGCTCCTCAGCACTGGGATTTATCTGGGGAGCTTTGGTGCACAGGAGCAGCCAAATTCTACAGGTGCCCTGGTTTTGGTCTGTAATCTCCTGCTTTTCTTCTTGAGCATCAGCTTCTCTGCATGTGTTGGAAGTGCTTCTACCTAGACAGGGTTGAATTGGCCAGTGCTGGCTCCCTGACACTCCTAATTAGATCTAAATTAGCGTGGCTGTGATTTAGCACTCTGCTCCTTCTCAGTGGCTGCCTATTGA